ATTTGCAATCTGTTTGCTGCTTATCTATTTCCAGTGCCCTGAAATGGGTGTTTTTGATCATTTTATTTAGTTTGTGTCTGTGTGTGTACGTTTGCTGTGTATGTTGAGAGTGTATACAGACCTCTTTACAAAGCCACAGCCAGAAGTCTCTGCCTCTGTTTACATTTTGATGTACATTTTGATGCAGTTCTACTTACTTTGCAGTTCATTTTTCATGTTTACATATATGTAACTATAAACAGCAGTATTTTCTGTGTCCTAAAAATGCAAGTTATTTTTTCCTTAATGCTGTTTTTTAAAATTAACCTTCTCTTTATTTAAAAAATCTGGTCCTTTTATTTTATTTTAGCCACGCTGCGTGGCTTGCGAGATCTCAGTTCCCCGACCAGGGATTGAACCCGGGCCATGGCAGTAAAGCCCGGAATCCTAACCACTAGGCCACCAGGGAACTCCCAAAATCTAGCCCTTTTAAACATTACAAAATTCTATCTAGTTAATATACCAAATTTTCCTTTCATTTATTGATAAGGTTGTTTTTAATTTTTCACAATTACAAATACTGCCACAGTGAACATCCTTATACATGTTTCCTTTTCAGTTTTACTAGATATATCAAATTGGTCCCCCAATTTCATATCAATTTACACTATCACTCCCACCAGCTATGAATGAGCAGACCTGTTTACCCACTGTCTGGCAAAAGCTAGATATTTTCAAATTTTTAAAATTTTCACATAGGATGGGTGAAAGCTTGATCTCATTACAGTTTTAAAATATATATAGTTGTAAGATGTGTGACATCCTGCCAAATTGCCCTTCAGGGAGTTTGTAATCAAATTGTTCTCATCAATCACAAATGTTACCCTTTTTAAAATGTTGACAATTTGATAGAAGAAAATTGGCATCTTTGCTGTTTTATATTATTTCTTGATTATTGTAAAGTAAATGTAAATTTTAGCTCTTACATTTAGGACAATGATTCATTTTGAGTTAATGTTTATGTACAATATGAGAGTGTTTTGGGGGTTTTTTTGGCGTGTGGATACCAATTGTTCCAATACTACTTGCTGGAAAGACTATCATTTACACATTGAATTAATTGCTTTTGCACCTTTGTCAAAAATTAATTGGCCATTAATTAATTAAGTCTATTTCTAGACTCTCCTTGTGTTCCAATGATTCTGATTTCTGTCTATCTCTTCACCAATACCACTCTTGCTAATTGTTGCTTTAGAGGAAGTCTTAAAATCAAGCAGTGTGATTCTCTCCAACTGTACTATTTTTAAAAATTGCTTTAGCTTCTTGGTTTCTTTGCTTTTCCATATAAATTTTAGAGTCGGCTTGTCTATATTTACAAAAATTGCTGCTGGGATTTTGATCATAATTGCATTAAATCCATTGACTGATTTGGGAAGAACTGACCTCTTTACTATATTGAGTCCTCCAATCCAAGAACACAGTGTGTCTCCATTTATTTAGGTCATCTCTGACCTCTTTGATCAGGATTTTGTAGTTTTCAGGACATAGATCCTGTATATATTTTGTTAGATTTATACCTAAGTGTTTCACTTGGGAGGAGGGGACTATTGTAAATGATATCTTTAAAAATTTTGGTTTCCAGTTGTACCTTGCTAATATAGAGATATGACTGGGTTTTGTGTGTTGATCTTGTACCCTATGACCTTGCGAAGCTTAAACTCACTTACTAGATCTAGGAGATTAGTAGGTTCCCCGGAATTCTAGATTCCTTGGCCAGTCCTGTTATCTACAAATAGAGACCATTTTATTTCTTCTAAGCTGTATGTCTATTTCTTGCCTATTACACTGGCTAAGACTTCCAGTACTATGTTGAGTAAGAGTAGCCAGTGAACATCTTCCCCTTGTTCTTAATCTTAAGAGGAAAGCATTCACTCTTACAGTTAAACATGATGTTAGCTGTAGGTTTTTTGTACAGGCCTTTTGTCAGATTGAGGAAGTTCCCCTTCCATCATTAAAGGATGTTAAATTCCGTCACGTGCTTTTTCTGCATCAACTGGCAAGATTCAGGTTTGAATACTGAACCAGCCTGACATTCTCAAGGAAAAAACCTCACTTGATCATGGTGTATTATTCTTTTTTTATATATTGCTATATATTTTGTTGAGGACTTTTTACATCTATGTGCATGAAAGGTATTGGTCTATAGTTGTTTTTTTTGTTTTGGTTTTGTCTTTTCTTCCAGTGTCTTTGCCTGATTTTGTTATCAGGGTGATGCTGGCCTCATAAGATGAGTTGGGAAGTAATCCCTCTTCCTCAATTTTATGAAAAGATTATGTAGGATGGGTGTTATTTCTTCTTTAAATGTTAAGTAGAATTACCCAGTGAAATCATCTGGGCTTGGAGATTTCCTTCTCAGAAAGTTAACTACAAATACTTTTTTTAATAATTAGGGTCTATTAGGGTTATCTGTTCATCTTGGTTGAGTTTGTTTTTTATTTTATTTATGGTATTTCATGACAGGCACAAGTCTTAGGTCTTTTTATAATTAAACCTATCAATCTTCTTTTCTGGCATATCTTTGTGTGCTCAGAGAGTTCTTTCCTCCAATTTTTAACTTCAGTACACTTTATTCCAGTACTGTACTTTCTTCTGGCTAATTTATATTTTTTAGTTTTGATGTAAAAAATATTAATCCATCTGGAATTCAGTGGATGCTAGGAGGTGACAATCCAGATTTTCCTTAAAGTTAAAAATTAGTATCCAAGAAAAGAATAAGGTGGCCTTGGAATCTCCTAACTCTATAATCATAAACTTTTTCTCATAAAAAACAAATTTTACATATTCACAAATAGATTAAGTTTCTTAATAACCATAACTAATTTTTTTTGTATTTTTTGTAATAGATCTTTAGTGGAGTGTAATTGCTTCACAATAATGTGTAAGTCTCTGTCATACAACAAAGTGAATCAGCCACATGCACACATACAACCCCACATCCCCTCCCCGCTGAGCCTCCCTCCCACACTCCCCATCCCACCTCTCTAGGTATAGCAAAGCACCGAGCTGATCTCCCTGTGCTATGCAGCTGCTTCCCACTAGCTAACTATTTTCATTTGGTAGTGTATATGTGTCGATGCTATTCTCACTTCGCTCCAGCTTCCCCCTCCCCGGCGTGTCCTTCAGTCCACTCTCTGTCTACATCTTTATTCCTGCCCTGCCACTAGGTTCATCAGAATGAATCCAAAAATACATTCATGGAATTTTTTTAGATTCCATATATATGTGTTAGCATACGGTATTTGTTTTTCTCTTTGACTTACTTCACTCCGTATGACAGATTCTAGGTCCATCCACCTCACTACAAATAAATCAATTTCATTTCTTTTTATGGCTAATATTCCACTGCATATGTGTGGAATATATCCACATATATATATCCACATCTTCTTTATCCATTCATCTGTCGATGGGCACTTAGGTTGCTTCCATGTCCTGGCTATTGTAAATAGTGCTGCAGTGAACATTGTGGTACATGACTCTTTTTGAATTATGGTTTTCTCAGGGTATATGCCCAGTGGTGGGATTGCTGGGTCATATGGTAGTTCTATTTTTAGTTTTTTAAGGAACCTCCATACTGTTCTCCATAGTGGTTGTATCAATTTACATTCCCACCAATTTTTAAAAAATCAAATATATAGATGGAGCACAAATACTGTGAGTATATACAAGGACATTTTTTAAATGAGCAAGATGATTAGCTAGAAAACACAGAATAAGAAGCTTCAATTAACATTCATGCTAAAGAAAACAATATTCAAAATATCCAAATAACTTCTGAAAACTAAAAAAAAAAAGTTTATTTAATAACATGGGGAAATACAAGAGTGGAAAAAAGTAGGACACAAAACTTTCCCTATAATATCCTCCCTCCCTCCCTCTCCCTCTCTCCCTCTCTCTCTCTCTCTCACACACACACACACACACACACACACACACACACACACACACACTTTTCCTCTCTCTCTTTCTCATATGTGACTGGAAAATAATGTCCACCAAAATGGATTACTTTTATAAGCAAAGAAAAATCAACATTTAAAAAATATTTAAGTTACATTCTTTACAAATCCCAAACTCCTCCTGATAAACCACTGAATACATTAGTGTCCCTTAAGTGGATCAAGCCAGGTGAGCATGGGACAGTGTCCTCCCTTAGCAGTTCCTTTGCGTCTCTCCCAAAGCTACCCACTTTGAAAAGGATGACTCTGCCTAAGGAAGGACTACTGTTGGATGAGTTCATGACCTGGCTTTCCTCTAGAACCCCTAGTACCTCACTTTTGAATAGAAATCAAGAAAATTCTAGCTGCTACAAACATTCTCTCTTATAAGCCAGAAGAAGAGTCCAGGAGGTTGAGAGTGGAGGAAGGTGAGGAGAGGAGCCAATGTTTTTCTCTTTTATCACTGGATCTCCTCACTAACTGAGACACCTCGGGTCACATTCACAGCATGTAGGATTTCTACGCTTTATGCAGGTGAGTTTTGCTGAGACTCTAAGGGAATAAAGGAAATGGAAATCAGTTGATCTTACTGTTTTGTTTTGTTTTGTTTTTGCGGTACGCGGGCCTCTCACTGTTGTGGCCTCTCCCGTTGCAGAGCACAGGCTCCAGACGCGCAGGCCCAGCGGCCATGGCTCACGGGCCCAGCCGCTCCACGGCATGTGGGATCTTCCCGGACCGGGGCAGGAACCCGTGTCCCCTGCATTGGCAGGCGGACTCTCAACCACTGCGCCACAAGGGAAGCCCGCCGATCTTACTGGTTTTGATGTTCCAACTAATTTGGGGAGATATGATTGTGCCTAAATTCATGCATAAAGGATTTCCTACAAAATGGTATCCAGTCTTATCTTTCCATCACAGACATGAATAGCTACTTATAATCTGTCCGTATTGATAGATAGACCATTCCATTTGCCAGTGTGCTTCCCTCCCGTGACCAGGAAATGTTAATATCTGCAAAACCACCTCTTCTACTTACCCTGTGTTGGGCCTCTCCAGTCATGGCATAAGCCTTGGCTAGTAACGCGCTCGCCTCTGCAGCTTGGGGGCTGACTTCAGTGAACAAAGAAACACAGATGGAATGGGCCTGGAATAGAGAAAATCACGACAAGGTAAGTACCCAAATGACAGTGTCTCACTGTGGCTTTTATAGCAGCTCCCATAGAATTGTTAGTTCTCCCATAGAATTGTTAGTTCTCAACTAACAATTGAGCAAGTAATTTTACCTTCATATGTAGAAGGAATATTTAGTTCCCATTGATTAGGGTTTGGGAAAAATTAAATGAGATGGTGCATGTAAAACACTGGGCACAGTACCCTTCACATGGTAAATTCTCAGTAAATGTTAGCTATGATTACTTTTATTATATTTCATAGCAAAAATAAAATCATAACTTTAGCTCAGCCTCTCAAAGGTTCAGTATCAAAAAAATGTCTAGGGTTCCCTGGTGGCGCAGGGAACACACAGGCTCTGCATTTGTCAAATTACTTACCTACAAGCAAAACACACTTATGGTGGTTTAACCATAAACTTTGAGATACAACCAGCTAGACTAGTTTAAAGGACAAATGACGTCATTGCACCAAAGTATCATAAATTTTCATTTAAAAAGTCCTTTGTGGGCTTCCCTGGTGGCACAGTGGTTGAGAGTCTGCCTGCCAATGCAGGGGACACGGGTTCGTGCCCTGGTCCGGGAAAATCCCACATGCCATGGAGCGGCTGGGCCCGTGAGCCATGGCCACTGAGCCTGCGTGTCCGGAGCCTGTGCTCCGCAACGGGAGAGGCCACAACAGTGAGAGGCCCGCGTACCACAAAAAAAAAAAAAAAAAAAAACAAAAGTCCTTCGCATTTGCTAAAGACTTAAGTTCAGTTGCCCCTATGGCTTTTTTCCCTGGAGTAGACTTTCTCAGCTCCCTCTTCCCAGTACAGATAGAGGTGAGTGAAGCCTGGTAGGGGAAATGCTGTCTTAAATCAGGTCACACAGCAGATAGGCCCACTGTGAGTCGCTGTTCTCTGTCCAGGTCATTTAAAGTTGAGGAAGGTCTCTTGTGTGGATCTGGAGGAAAATCAATCCCATCCCCTGTTCTGAGAAGCCCAAGCGTCCCTGGCCCTGGGAACTGGGCCTGGGGCCAAACAAGCCCACCTGCCAAACAAGCCCACCTGGCCGGGGCTTCAGCCAACCCACCTACCTGCTGCAAGTACTGGATGGCCTGGTCATGGTTCCTCCTCAGCTGCTCGATCTGAGCAATTTCCTCATAAAGACCAAGCAGATCTGATGTCCTATCACCCTTAGCAGCAATAACATTGTCAACTGCCTTTTCAAAGTATGCCAGAGCTAGGTTTAACCTGCAGTTGGCCAAGGAGGCTCTATAAGAAAAGGGACAAGAATGGAAAGTCACAGAGAGGCCACTTGCTTTGCAGATGCACAAGGAACCAATTCTAAGAACTAAACGATTTGGTCTTCATAGGCCAATCATGTGAGTGGCTGGCTCAAAACCTAGCCTTGTTGTAAACAAACTCCTACTAACCTGCATTTTACCCACCAGATTCCACTGACTACCATTCATCAAACCTATTAATATGTCATGCTATAGTCTAATGTTATAAAAAAGCAAAGGGAAAAAATGGCTTATGGCAGTTAATAACATGTGATAATTTACCCATAAACAAACACTTTGGAAAATCAAAATAAAATTTTATTACCTCTGGCTGCCTCTCTTTTAGGCCAAAGCAGAGGTTTTCCTTTGTTTGATTTAGTTTAGTTTATTCCTCCTCAGTTAAAAATGAGAGAGGATAGAGAAAACAATGTAAATATCCCCCCACCAAAAGGGGACGGTTAAATAAATTATGGCACATCATACAACAAAATACTTCAGACATTAATCCTGTTTTCTTTTTAGACTAATGTGGAGAAAAATTTTTAATGTGCTAAGTTCAAACTACAGTTATAAAACTATACTTAAAATATAAACCTGATAAGAGCTTTAAGATGGCAGAGGAGTAAGACGTGGAGATCACCTTCCTCCCTACAAATACATCAGAAATACATCTACATATGGAACAACTCCTACAGAACACCTACTGAACACTGGCAGAAGACCTCAGACCTCCCAAGACAAGAAATTCCCCACGTACTTGGGTAGGGCAAAAGAAAAAAAAGAAACAGAGACAAAAGAGTAGGGACGGGACCTGTACCTCTGGGAGGGAGCTGTGAAGGAGGAAAGGTTTCCACACACTAGAAGCCCCTTCGCGGGCGGAGACTGCGGGTGGCGGAGTGGGGAAGCTTTGGAGCCGCGGAGGAAAGCGCAGCCACAGGGGTGCGGAGAGCAAAGCGGAGAGATTACCGCACAGAGGATCGGTGCCGACCAGCACTCACCAGTCCAAGAGGCTTGTCTGCTGACCCGCCTGGGCGGGCGGGGACTGGGAGCCGAGGCTCGGGCTTCTGTCGGATCCCAGGGAGAGAACTGGGTTGGCTGCATGAACACAGCCTGAAGGGGGCTAGTGTGCCACAGCTAGCTGGAAGGGAGTTCAGGAAAAAGTCTGGAACTGCCAAAAGAGGCAAGAGACCATTGTTTTGGGGTGCACGAGGAGAGGGGATTCAGAGCACCGCTTAAATGAGCCCAGAGACGGGCGCGAGCCGCGGCTATCAGCGCGGACCCCAGAGACGGGCATGAGACGCTAAGGCTGCTGCTGCCGCCACCAAGAAGCCTGTGTGCAAGTACAGGTCACTCTCCACACCTCCCCTCCCGGGAGCCTGTGCAGCCCGCCACTGCCAGGGTCCCGTGATCCAGGGACAACTTCCCCGGGAGAACACACAGCGCGCCTCAGGCTGCTGCAACATCACACTGGCCTCTGCCGCCACAGGCTCGCCCCGCATCCGTACCCCTCCCTCACCCCTCCCTCCCCACCGCCTGAGTGAGCCAGAGCCCCCGAGTCAGCTGCTCCTTTAACCCCGACCTGTCTGGGTGGAAACAGATGCCCTCAGGAGACCTACATGCAGAGGCAGGTCCAAATCCAAAGCTGAACCCCGGGAGCTGTGTGAACACAGAAGAGAAAGGGAAATCCCTCCCAGCAGCCTCAGGAGCAGCGGATTAAATCTCCACAGTCAACTTTATGTACCCTGCATCTGTGGAATACCTCAATAGACAATGAATCATCCCAAAATTGACACAGTGGACTTTGGGAGCAACTGTAGACTTGGGGTTTGCTGTATGCGACTGACTGGTTTCTGGTTTTATGTTTATCTTAGTTTACTATTTAGAGTTTACTATCATTGGTAGGTATGTTTATTGATTTGGTTGCTCTCTTCCTTTCTTTTTTTTATATGTAGATATATTTTTTTTTTCCTTTTTCCCTTTTTGTGAGTGTGTATAGGTATGCTTCTTTGTGTGATTTTGCTTGGATAGCTTTGCTTTTACAATTTGTCCTAGGGTTCTGTCTGTCCGTTTTTGGGGGGTTTTTTTTAGTATAGTTTTTAGCGCTTGTTATCATTGGTGGATTTGTTTTTTGGTTTGGTTGCTCTCTTTCTTTCTTTCTTTCTTCTTTTTTTAAAATTATTTTTAGGGTTTTTTTATTTGTAACATTTTTTAAATTTTTTATTTTAACAACTTTCTTTCTTTTTATTTTATTTTTTCTTTCTTTTTTTCTCCCTTTTGCTCTGAGCTGTGTGACTGACAGGGTCTTGGTGCACCAGCTGGGTGTCAGGCCTGTGCCTCTGAGGTGGGAGAGCCACGTTCAGGACACTGGTCCACCAAAGACCTCCTGACTCCACATAATATCAAATGGCAAAAGCTCTCCCAGAGATCTCCATCTCAACGCTAAGACCCACCTCCACTCAGAAAGCTACAGTGCTGGACACCCTATGCCAAAGAACTAGCAAGACAGGAAAACAACCCCACCCATTAGCAGAGAGGCTGCCTAAAATAATAATAAGGTCACAGACACCCCAAAACACACCACCGGACACGGTCCTGCCCAACAGAAAGACAAGATCCAGCCTCATCCACCAGAATACAGTCACCAGTCCCCACCACCAGGAAGCCTACACAACCCACTGAACCAACCTTAGCCACTGGGGGCAGACACCAAAAACAACAGGAACTATGATCCTGCAGGCTGTGGAAAGGAGACACCAAACACAATAAGTTGAGCAAAATGAGAAGACAGAGAAACACACAGCAGATGAAGGAGCAAGGGAAAAACCCAACAGACCAAATAAATGAAGAGGAAATAGACAGTCTACCTGAAAAATAATTCAGAGCAATGATACTAAAGATGATGCAAAATCGTGAAAATAGAATGGAGAAAATACAAAAAACGTTTAACAAGGACCTAGAAGAAATAAAGAGCAAACAAACAATGATGAACAACACAATAAATGAAATTAAATATTCTCTAGAAGGAATCAATAGCAGAATAACTGAGGCAGAAGAATGATAAGTGACCTGGAAGATAAAATAGTGGAAATAACTACTGCAGGGCAGAATAAAGAAAAAAGAATGAAAATAATTGAGGACAGTCTCAGAGACCTCTGGGACAACATTATACACACCAACATTCGAATTATAGGGGTCCCAGAAGAAGAAGAGAAAAACAAAGATACTGAGAAATTATTTGAAGAGATGATAGTTGAAAATTTCCCTAATATGGGAAAGGAAACAGTCAATCAAGTCCAGGAAGCACAGAGAGTCCCATACAGGATAAATCCAAGGAGAAACACGCCAAGACACATATTAATCAAACTATCAAAAATTAAACACAAAGAAAAAATATGAAAAGCAGCAAGGGAAAAACAACAAATAACATACAAGGGAATCCCCATAAGGTTAACAGCTGATCTTTCAGCAGAAACTCTGCAAGCCAGAAGGGAGTGGCAGGACATATTTAAAGTGATAAAAGGGAAAAACCTACAACCAAGATTACTCTACCTGACAAGGATCTCATTCAGATTTGATGGAGAAATTAAAACCTTTACAGACAAGCTAAAGCTAAGAGAATTCAGCACCACCACACCAGCTTTACAACAAATGCTAAAGGAACTTCCCTAGGCAGGAAACACAAGAGAAGGAAAAGACCTACAATAACAAAGAACAAGCCCTAAACAATTAAGAAAATGGTAATAGGAACATACAAATCAATAATTACCTTAAATGTAAATGGATTAAATGCTCCCACCAAAATACACAGACTGGCTGAATGGATACAAAAACAAGACCCATATATATGCTGTCTACAAGAGACCCACTTCAGACCTAGGGACACATGCAGACTGAAAGTGAGGGGATGGAAAAAAGATATTCCATGCAAATGGAAATCAAAGGAAACCTGGAGTAGCAATTCTCATATCAGACAAAATAGACTTTAAAATAAAGACTATTACAAGAGACAAAGAAGGACACTACATAATGATCAAGGGATCAATCCAAGAAGAAGATATAACGATTGTAAATATTTATGCACCCAACATAGGAGCACCTCAATATATAAGGCAAATGCTAACAGCCATAAAAGGGGAAATCAACAGTAACACAATCATAGTAGGAGACTTTAACACCCCACATTCACCAAGGGACAGATGATCCAAATGAAAATAAATAAGGAAACACAAGCTTTAAATGATATATTAAACAAGATGGACTTAATTGATGTTTATAGGACATTCCATCCAAAAACAACAGAATACACTTTCTTCTCAAGTGCTCATTGAACATTCTCCAGGATAGATCACATCTTGGGTCACAAATCAAGCCCTGGTAACTTTAAGAAAATTGAAATCATATCAAGTATATTTTCCGACCACAATGCTATGAGACTAGATATCAATTACAGGAAAAAAATCTGTAAAAAATACAAACACATGGAGGCTAAACAATATACTACTTAATAACCAAGAGATCGCTGAAGAAACCAAAGAGGAGATCAAAAAATACCTAGAAACAAAGAAAACACAACGACCCAAAATGTATGGGATGCAGCAAAAGCAGTTCTAAGAGGGAAGTTTATAGCAATACAATCCTACTTCAAGAAACAAGAAACATCTCAAATAAACAACCTATCCTTATACTTAGAGCAATCAGAGAAGGAACAAAAAAAACCCAACATTAGCAGAAGGAAAGAAATCACAAAGATCAGATCAGAAATAAATGAAAAGGAAATGAAGCAAACAATAGCAAAGATCAATAAAACTAAAAGCTGGTTCTTTGAGAAGATAAACAATATTGATAAATCATTAGCCAGACTCATCAAGAAAAAAAGGGAGAAGACTCAAATCAATAGAATTAGAAATGAAAAAGGAGAAGTAACAATGGACACTGCAGAAATACAAAGGATCATGAGAGATTACTACAAGCAACTATATGCCAATAAAA